GACGGGAACTCGGGGACTCGCCAATCGATCCAAAGATCCATAAAAACCGTCGGGTAACGCGGCCCGCATCGCCTTTGGCGGCTCGGGAAGTCGGGTCGAAGTTGGTCGATTCGCGCCCGTCCGGGGGTTGGAAGGGCGCGGCGCAAGCCCCGGACTCACGAGAGCTTTTTGGTTGCCTTGCGCGGAAGGCAAGAAAGGAGGAAGAGAACTGAGTCATCATCAAACCCGGCATTCAAATGGTCCCAGTGGCCCATGCTTCAAGAATCAAGAAGCCGGATATCCGCAGCTATTTATGGCAAGAGGATTGTCCCTTACCCTTCATTTACCCGAATTGGTTTTGAGGCCGTGGCTCAACTGGAGAGAAGGAAGAGTGCGGACACAGGGTGTCCAGCTTGGAAATGTGATTCACATGCTCGGCGAAATCCGCTTCGTACCGGCCAAGACTTATCAAGGGATTCTGCCGAAGGTCCTTGAAGGGCCAAGCGCTCAAGTCATAGGTGTCCTTTTAGGGCAAATAGATGGCCCTGGTAGATGACTAAACCACCAGGTAAACCAGGGCCATCTATTGTTCTACCAAAACAACCAAAAAGGACACCTATGGCTCAAGTGCTTTGCCGCTTGGGGGACTGTCAACCCAAGGCAAGTTGAACATATGGCTGTTCTTTTTTGCACAATATGCAGCTCGCCCTTTTGATCTTCTGATTCGGTCTTGATTGAACACCAAAAGAAAACACCCAATTTTGCAGGTTCCCTTTACTTCAAAGACACGCCCATTGTAGCCATGGTTCCCAGCAATTTACAGAGTATTCTGGCCCCTCAGACAATTGGGGTGTCCATGGTCGGTTGGTTCCCTCGGCGCCATTCAAAAAGGGTTCAACATGTATATAAGATAGATCCACATGGCTGTGGGTCAAAAAATCGGTATCCGGAATAGAAGCCTGGTAAATGGAACCAAGGATTAAAACCTGCGGTCCATATCCTGGTGGTTCAATTTTGCCCACACCCACATGGCCATCCTGACATCCTGATGCTGCTCGTGGATGCTCCTGTTCCCCTTGAGAAGCTGATCTCTACTTTCCTGCTTGATGGATGGCCCGAATTCATGATCCCCTTGGTTGACTTTGGAAGGGGAGCAACAATTCAAGTGTTAGCAGTTCAGTGGGTTTGGATTTCAACCACTAAACCACAATAAGCACAAATGTCAGATGTCTTCCACAAACCAACCATGTGGCCGTGGCTCAAAAACCCGGACTTCCAAAATGGGTTGCCCGATCGGTCAGTGGACACATGGACTTCAAGACCTGCGGTGTGCCCCGATTTTTTTTTAATTTTGAGGAATCCACACCCATCGGACAGGAAAGATGCTCACTACAAGAGCTTCTGGAGCGGAGAGTGCTTGGCCCGGAGTTGCGGAGTCTCGCTTGCCCTGTTTTTTTCGGGCCCAGAAAAGGGTGATATATCACCTTTTGGGGTGACTAAAACAAAAGGAGAAACCAAAAGGTCAGATTCGGTCGATTCGCTTTGGGCAACTGAGTTCTACTTGGCCCAACCAAGTCGGGCGACATGACAAAATCAGTCAAGTCGATCTTTTGGTCGGACCGGACATTGTGTGCATGTCTAGGCGTCAATTAAAGTGACACGGTGGCTTAAAACTGACTTCCTGAGTGGATGGGCCAACAACAAGTACCCACACTTTTGTTCACCCCTAAAAAGGCAACAAACCTCAAAAAGGTGGCTCAAGTCCGAGTCCCCCAACTCGATCGGAAGTGGACTAAAACCAAAGCACTGGGACCCTGACATTTTCTTTGAGAACCCCTGAAAATCATCCCCCTTGTTCTTTTTTGTTTGGGGGGGGGGTGGAACACCCATTATAGGGAGGTCCCATTCTGGACCCGGAAGTCTTCCAACCAAGCCCTTTGCAAATCTTCTAAAAAATGGGGCCATGGGGTCTCCGTAGATCTGCATCACAGAATCGTGAATCCTCAAAAAAGAAAAAGCAAGTATGGCCTGCAAAACCCAAAGGTAGTCTTGGTTGCTGTTGACAACCTTGCAAAAAGTTTCACTTTTTGGGGGTTTGGTGGAAAACACCATTATTTCCCAAAAATTTAAAAAGTCTAGAGATTGCAAAAGTCAACCCACGCGCCTTAACTGGGCGCCGGCGGGGCATCATCCGGCTGCTCGACGTTGCGGTTCACCGGGCTACACCTCGGAGTCTGGGTTCAAGTGGTAATTTGAAGGCGCTCTCGAAAAAACTGCCATGGGTTACGGGGTATGACTCACAGGTATGATTCGCGGGTATGATTCGGGGGTGTGATTCGCTGAAGCAGCAGCAGCAGCAGCAGAAGTAGTAGTAGTAGCAGCAGCAGCAGCAGGAGCAGCAGCAGCAGCAGCAGCAGTAGTAGTAGTAGCATTGGTAAGGGTAGCAGAAGCAGAAGTAGAAGCAGTAGAGTAGTAGTAGCAGCGGTAATAGCGGTGGTAGTGGTAGTGGTAGTGGGAGTAATAGTCGTGGTCGCGGTAGTAGCACTAGTAGTAGTAGTAGTACTAGTGGTGGTAGTAGTAGTAGTAGTAGTAGTAGTTGTAGTAGTGGTAGTAGTTGTAGTAGTGGTAGTAGTAGTAGTAGTAGTAGTAGTAGCAATAGTCGTAGTAGTAGCACTAATAGTAGCAGTATTAGTAGGTAGCGCTCGTGGTGGTTGTGGCGGCAGTAAACAACACAAACGGTAGAAGAAGAGTAGCATCTTGCAGCATACGTTTTAAGGGGTATGATTCGGGGGTATGATTCGGGGTATGACTCGGGGGTATGATTCGGGGAGGTCCCACCTTCTGCCTTTTGAAGCAACTCAACACAACAGCAAAAAGACAAACCCATATATTACTGTGGGTCAAAAATAGGTACTCGACATGGAACTCTTGTAAAATGCAACAACTGGACAAAAACGTTCGGTCCACTGCTAGTCCATTTTGACCCATACCCATATATTTCTGTGAAAAATCACATGATCTTTAAAACCACCAAGGGAAATATGGGGACAGCGCATCAAGTGCTTGCGTTTTGAGGGGTCCTCAAAAATACGTTTGGCGTGCTTTCCTTTGCACCAGGCAATAGCTGGGCTGCTCAAAATGGAGGGTTCGCCAATCCTAATCCATAATCCCGAATGTTGACCCAGGATCAATAAACCCGTCCCATTAAGGGGTGTTCCCTCCAAACGTGGTCTGAATCCCCCACAAAAAGGGGACACCCCCCGATGAAAATCAACCAGGGGTGTATTCATCCGGGGTTAACGTTACAGGGCAGCCACTACAAAAGGCTTTGCGTAACCGAAGGTAAGGAATAAGGATTTGCTTTGAACAGCCCAGAATAGAGATAAACTTGAGGGTAACTCGTTCTAGCCAGAAATCCTTCACGAGAAGTCGTTTTGCAAACGAAGGAGCTTGGGGCTGTTCACTGGGGCGTTTTCAGTGGGGCGTTAGCCGGGTTTGGAATTGCAGGGAGCAGCTCAGACCGTTTTGGTGATCCATCCGGGCAAACGAGCTTTCCAATCTGGGGTAAAGCGAGACGTATAGGTTCCTCCATTCTTCCCAGGGATCCTTCTCTGCATCAACGGCAAGAATCGCCGGGCAAAATGCATGGTTTTTTGAAAAGAAAGATGGTTGAAAACAATGGGTCAACTCAGTTCGCAGTTCACGGTGCCCTAGATTTTGCCATTGAACGTCCCACCATCAGAGTCATTTGAAATTGGTACAACATGTGATGTTTCTATATCTTCCCTTTGTAGGTCGCCCGAGACCCGAGAGGACACCCGGTTTTGGGCGCGACCCCGGTGACGCTGCTTTTCGTGCCGTGTGCTTGCAATGTTGTTTGTGTTCTCCCTGTTGCTGCTGTTGCTTGGTGCTGCTGCCACTGCTATGGCTGCTGCTGCTGTTGTTGTTTTTGTGTTTGTTCTTGCTCTTGCCCTATGCTCAAGTCATTGTTCTAGGTCCTGATTGTTGTTGTGACAATTATTCATGTTGTCTTTGCTAGCGCTCCTGGCGTTGCCAGTGTACTTGCTACACTCCATTTCCATCCATCTCCATTGTGGACCCCTTTTGCTTTCGGTGAGCCTCGTCCCAAGTCAGCTTACGGGCTCCAGCCCCGGCCGCTTTGCGCACGAACATTCGAGAGCAGTCTGCCCTTAGGCTGGTAAAGTGGAGAGTGAAGATTCGCGGAAAAAAAATGGGGCGAGCTCACCGATTCGGGGATAGCTTGGTTGTTGGGAAACGATTTGGTTGTTGGTTGGTTGGATAGCTTGGTTGTTGGTTGGATAGCTTGGTTGTTGTTGGTTGTTGGTTTTGCCTATTGTGCTTTAGTGGTTGAAATCCAACCACTTAACCTCAAAATTTATTTGTTTTGCTCCCCTTCCAACGTCAACCAAGATAAAGCGAGCTCATGGTTGTTATCCTTTGCGGATCCAATTCGTGTCACACGGGGGCTGGTGGGGAGGGGCTGGTGGGGAGGGAGGGGGAACCCAAATAAGCCCTCAAGGCTAATCAGAGCTTAATATGGGCAAACTTAAAGGGGCGATCCAGTCGGTACCTCAGGTAAGTGGCTAGCGTGGTGAGATACAGTAACCCTCTGAACGGAGGCTTGCAACCATGGCTTCTGTGGGTTCTCAGGGCTATTGCCCACTTCCTAAGTACCCGATCGCCCCTTTAAGTACCGGAAAAGCCAGGATTCTCATCAGGGCTGACAATTTGTGTGAGTGATGTCTGCCTCGGTACAAACCAGGAAAGCTCAACCGGATCGACCGTTACAATACCAGTTTTCCGGGTCGTCCATGACAACATGGCGCCTGAAAAAACAATCTGGAGTCCCGAGCTTCGAGACAAACACAACTGCATCTGCAACGAGCATTTCTGCATCGAGGTACAAGTGAAGGTCTTCATATGTGTCAGACAGTGCTGCTAGCCCAGTACATCGATCTGCGAGAAGTTGAATCGTTGACTCGCCAGGAAAAAAAAGAGTCTCACCTCCATGTCTAGCAAGTTTGAACAAGGTACTTTTGTACGATCTCAAACACAACATGAAAACCGTTTGGTGCACATTAGGTGGGGCTGTACGTCCACCAACCGCTTTTGGGGGAGTCCCTTCCAAGCCCACACTGGGTTCCATAGGACACAGAACTTGGCTCCCGCGCATCTCGCGTCGAAGGGCGTCCAGGACTGTCTCGATGGTGTACTCTCTTTTCCAATTGCCTGCAAGTACTCCCCTGATGCCCCCCCCGCAAGCGCCAGCATCCCATTCTTCTAGAACGAGCAAATGAAGTCTGAAGGGCGGCTATCTCCAGGGCCCTTCAAATTAACACAAAACTCAGAAAGGATGGTTTCCTAGAGGAGATTCGTCTAATGATGCTTCAAGCAAACTTCATTTTGATCCTGCTTGGTCACACAGATCCGACCCCTACCACAAGTCGATTGACTTTGATTTCAAGGGAATCTGGAGCACACCCACCACGACGAAACTGTCCAACAGGTTCGTGAAGTCCGTTTGGATATGAGCATGTCATCATTTTGTTTTGACACACCAACTTCGAGACACCCTTGGCTGCCCTTTACGCCGAAACAAGGATTCGAAAAAGGGGCCCGACTGGTTGACACAAGCAATGTACACGTGTTCTACTTTTGACGGATGAACGAACATTCTGAACCAGATTATGGATCATATTATATTTCGCAGGTTTGCTCCATCGGAGGCGAGGTGGACTTGTCAAGCTCCGCAAGAAGAACTTGTTCTTGAGGCTGGACTCTCGCGAGAGCTGCCTTACCCTCCTGTCCACATGGAACCCCCTGAAAAACACAAATAGTTTTTCAGGACCCCGAAACGTCTGGTTCCATGTTAGTAGCAGGGTAGTGGCTCGCTGAACCCGGGTGACTTTTTCTGACCAACGCTTCCGTGGCCCTTTGCGGACAATGGGACTCTTTTCGAAGAATCTGGGAAAGGCAGAGCTTCCTTTTGGATGCATGTGTGGGGCCCCCCTTTTTTGAGACATACTGGGGATGGACGACATCCTGTACCACCTAAAAACTCTGGTTTCTGATGATTCCCCTGTAAGTACCAACAAACGTTATGGTTTTAATCATGGTTTCAAATTGGTGCGAAACGGATTTCGTACCCATCCACAGTACAAACCCAGAAACCACATCAGCATCTCCTTTTGTGGGGCCCCCTGAAAAATGACACACCCATGTGGGCCATGGTCATGGTTCCCTTAGGAACCAAAATCCAACGGTTGCAACGAAATCCCTAAACCCATCACCAGCCCAACCCATATCGCCCGGGTTCTTCCCCAGAAAATCCCCCCACCCCACGCCCGATACATGATTGGGGATAGTATGGGAAATTGATCCACCAACCAAACCAAACCAAACCAAACCAACTCCGATTCGATGCGCCTAGAATTCCCCAGCTGGGTTTGACCGTGCCGTCGGACTCCACGCAGCTCATGTGAATGCCCACCAGGAAGCGAACTTCCGGCAGCACGTCCGGATACCCCGGCCCGCACACCTGGAAAACCCCCCGATGTTGTGCTGGTTTTGTTGGGAAGCCCCGGAGCTTTCTTGGGAAAAAATGGGTGGGCTATGAGCTTTCCTGTGGTAGAATAAGCTTTGTGGGAGGCTTTGAAGTGGGTGGCCTTTGAGGCAAATTTCCTGGCTTGGGATTTTAGGTGTGACCATGTCTTCTTACAAAGTGGGTGGGTGATGCTTCAAGGGGGGCAAAAGGAGAGCCCTGTTGTTTCTTGGCACTCAAATGGGCAAGCTGACTTGACCAAGTGCTTCAGCATGGCACATGTCATAAGGGGGAAAACACATAGGGGTAAACAAGTAACAATTATTGAGATAACTCCATGGGTAAACGGCATTCTCAAGTGAAGCATTAAGGGGAGATCGGAGGGGGGGGGGGGTTAGAGGCGCACATAGATTCAGTAGAGGCTGGATATGCTTGGATCAAGAAATTGACTGGCCATAATCTCTTGAAGCGTCTTGAAAAGTAGCTGCAATCAGAACGCCCGATCAAGCTAGACTCTGCACATCAAGCTGGAGCCAAATCATTATTCCTATTCAGAACCAGCTTCTCGGTTTGGATTGGTTTGGGGAATTGAACCCCGCCTTCCTTTGGAAGCATTTCAAATGGGTAAGGCACCCCTTGACCTCCAAGCCGCCAATCCAAGGCACACATTAAGGAGCACCCCTGAAAGTGCAAATCACCCAACAGATTCGTGAATTCCCCAGCAAGACACCAGCATCACAGACTACGGAATACCCCTTGTGCAACAAAATGTGTGCGGCTCCTCGAGACTTCTATCAGCATATCATACATGCCAACAACAAAAGTGCAAAAGGTCGCGTCTTTTTTGGGGGTACCTTTTCTGTGTGGTTTTAAGGAACAACCAATGGAACACCAAAATCCATTTTGGGGTTTCCCCCCCCCAAAAAAAAGAAGAAAAAACACAGACACACACCCAAATGACTCGCTCTCTTTGTGAAAGCTGGTCCAAACGTTTGGCCCAGCAAGTTGCCATTGGCTGCGAGCATATGTTTTGTTTTTTTTGGTTGAGGGTATGGCGTGATTGATAAATGGAAACTCTAGTTAAAGCAATCTGGCGAGGAAATCATGCTGCAGTAAAATCTCAAAAGGCGTAGGTAGAAGATGAGCAAATGTGAAAATACAGTGGACAAGTTATATATATATATATCGCATAGAAACCGGGGAATTGGACATTTCATCAATGGTCTCCGAAGGCTCCCACGGCACGACCTCGGCGACCGGGCAATTTGAAGGGAGTAGATGCGGTTGTCGAAGATGGTGTTGTACGGCCCAAAGATGGTGCCGTTCCAAGTGGTCAAAGTAATATCCTTAGGCCAGCCGCTTGTTCAAAAATATGCTCAAACCACTCGGTGCGGGCGAGGGGAGAGGGGGTAAAATACAAATTACACATCCCTAGTTGGTTTCTGTTTGGGCTATTTAGCACCCAGACCATTGTCTAAGCAACCTCCTTTGGCTTCCTGTTAAAGGGGAGCACAATTGGCACGATTCACGTCTCATTTGAAGCCGCCAGCAAATTCTATCAGAACGAGTAATTCGCCACATGGGTGTATCTGAGGGCACCCCGAAAGGTTCACTTTGGGCTTACGCTCAAGCCACGCGGAACTTGATTTGGAGAACGCATCCGGCAGACTTCTCGCTTGGTTTAGGGGCTGACCCGGGATAGCCGGCATAGCCACTCCCACGAACGGCGGCAATGTTCCCGAGCCCAGAAGGCTTGATGTTGGTAGTTGACTTGGGTCGCGTCGGGAGGACTTTCAAGCATGGGTCCCTTCAAGGCTGCATTTGGGCCGGAAAAGTCACCTTTCCCGGCTGCTTTTCTTTTTTTGGTAAAAAGCAGGCGAATTTCAGACTTGCCTACGGAATTCTGAGACACGGTCTCTTTCATTTTTCCTAGGTCTGTAAAAGGCCTTCCTGTGAAGCAGGCAACTGTTGGGCCCACGTTTGGGACTTGTGTTTTAGTTTCAACATTTTGCCCCACACTTCAAGGTTCAAAATCAGAGCTTCCCAGTGGTGAACGGTTGCCCTTTGCATGTTGAAGGCCTTTTCTGTGTGGCCTAAAAAACGTGCCCTTGTTTCCCATGGCCAGCTAAGACGGAGGGGAGTTTCCTTCTGCAAAGCCACCAATTAGTTGACTAGCTTGTACACTGTTCAAACAACACTTTTCAAATCCTGAACAACATGTGCGGCCATGTCTTAAAACTGGTGACGCCCAATAAATGGTGGGGTTTCCTTTGTTTCCCTTGCAAATCCTGGATCTCCGACCAATGTCCTTTAGACTTGAACGGATCTACGAAAGACGCTGGCTTCCCATCGTTGGACTCAGCGCATGCGATCTACACCAGCTCGTGGTAGCTGTTCAAGAGGTCATTCGTACATTAAGCCCACACCGTTCCTGCACATATATGCAGCGTATAATCAATGGCAAGTCCACATGTCCATACCAGCAGAGTTCCAGCTGAAGTCTGCTCATTTCAAAAACACCCAACATGTGAGTGATGTTTAGAATCAATCATTGGGGGAGTGTTTGGTTATTTTCTGGCTCCAGCACCCTTGACGGTCAGGGGCAGGGTTTTGGACATGATGGAACGCCCCTTATGATACCAAAGCGGTTGGCCCCGTGCTGAGTGTTTTTGCCGGGGGACTAACTGGCAAAAGTGGACATAACCAAGCGGCCTCTGCAACGTCGCTTAGAAAATGGTCGGCTCTGCCGAGCGGCGTCGTCATAGGCGAGCCCCCAAGAAAGGTGTGAGGCGCGTTCGCATTTCTGGCCTTTCTCCTTAGACAACGTGACGTGTGCTCACGGGCAGCAGGGTGGAGGTAGCAAGGGAACCGCAAGATGATGCCGCGGCATCATCGCCTCCTTTCACGTTGATCAGTGTCACCCCCCTCTTACCCGCAAAGTCGGAACCAGGGGTTCGTCAATTTAGTGTGCCTTTTTTGGGAACCTCTTTTGTGGGGATCCTTCTGATTTTTTTTCAAACAAAGGCTGGGTTGGCTTGTATGGTTGGTTGGTCCCAATTGGTTGGAAAGCTTCCCCATGTTCCAATCACTGGAGTTCAAACCCCAAACCAAAGGCTTACCTGACTTGATGAATCCGACAAAGGATTTTCAAGAAAGAGCCTTTCTCACATCCAAAGGTGAGGTTTGCTGATCCAAGGGATGCATCCACAAGTTCTATCATTGGGTTGAACCTATCCTCAAAGAACAAGTTGTGTCTTGCCTTCTGCAAACTAAACATGTAACTCGCTAGCAAACATGCAGTTAAACCTCCTGACATATGCTTTTTCGGGGGATTACCTATCTGGTGCCCAACCGAACCTGTTTGGCAAAACAAAGACTGGAATCACCTTGACTATTTCCAGCGACCCAGGGCGGTCAGGTGCCGATTGAAACCAGCGGAACCATCTGGCAGTGAATTCTATTGGGGAGCTCCCAAATGGTGGACAAAAATCAGCTAAGCGATGTCCAAAGGGTCACCTACTGTGGATGAACGAAATCCTGCATCATCTAAGAAACCGTTGAATGATGATTCTCCTGTAAATACCAACAAGCAATGGTTTCCCGTGGTTTCAACGTGGTGCGAACGGATGTCGTCCAACCACAATATTTCAATTGGCACCTATCTACGTTCAACCCAACGCACCTCAAAGGACACCTGTGATTAGTGTGTGTTGACCCATGCTCAAAGCCCTTGACTCGTCCGTGACCCGTGCTCGAAGCCAAGCGACTAACTCGTCCAGGAGCCGGAAGCTACGAGGCACGATGACTTTGTCAAACCTGACAGCTTATGTGGATAGGTCTGAAACGCGCAATATCCATCCAGGTTTGATTTCTGATATCAGAACTACCTAGAAAACCTGGAGTGGAAAATGTCCGCTTCTTGCCGTAACTACAGAAAATTGTAGTTGTTTCCATCAAAAAACGCCCTTCAAAATGCGCCTTTGGGACACGTGCCAGAGAACGGGGTTCGGAAAATGTGCCTTTGTATCGCCGAAAAGCGCATTGGTACCGGGGGAAAACGCCTCCGCCAGTTTGTTGAATACAAACCACAAAACACCACAATTCAGGAAAATTGCCTCAATGCAAGCATATGATGACCTTCCCAGAGAAAAAAAACAGTTTTCCACTTGGAAGCTCAAGGGGCACGACCAACACACGCGACCCTAAACCGTTGGCATCCATGGAATAGGTTCTAGAAATGAGTTGGAAGGGTAGTAGCAGTTAAGTGGTTGGATTTCCCACTAAACCACAATCAGCAAAACGTTAAATGTTTCCCAACAACAAACAAGGACTGATGCTTGTCTGTGCAGTCTTAAAGTCCTGGGGGTATGGTCGCCGTCTAGCGAGGGGTATGGCGAAGTTTGCCCACACCGCATCGTACACCTGGACTCGACTGGGTTCACTGTGTTCACCGGGACTTTTTTTAATGCGCCCAAATCGTTTGGATAAAGCCACTTCCAAAAGCAAAAGACACATCAAACAACGTGCTGCTCTGGGAAGCATGTTCGGGCATTCCAGTGAAAAATCCACACGCATTGAGATATCATTCGGTGATTGTGTCATTGCTCGCTCGTCCTTAAAACTAATTTTGCCTTGGAGCTCCTTCTGGGCACACCCACGTCTCGCAGGTTTGTCCTATTACACCCTGGGAATATAGGATTATCTGCAAATAGGCCAGAGTAGGGTGACTGTTCAAAGTGCGTAATCTCAGGGTACAATAGGAACAATAATGTTGACCCTGATGATCACCTCCCCCCCAGTTATTCATCAGGGGGCCTGGGACCCTGGAAGAAAGGATTCCATGCTAGAATTCTGACTCTGTTCCATATTTGTTTAGTCTATCCGATATCCAAAAACCTGTGGGTAACAACGATTTTTTTTGGAAACGCTCCTTTAGTTTGGTCAAATATAAGGGGTCCCGGTCGGGGCGAATGGTAGGGTTTGCCCCACAAATTTGGGGGCAGGGATAGGGGGAAAGATATGGGGATTGGTCAAAAGGTCCTGAAACATGGGGTGGCCATTCGACAACCACCAAGCAAGCAAATAACCTTCACACTCTCTGCCGCCCTGTAGGGACCTGGACGCTACACACAGGGTATACCGCTGACGTGTTTTGTTGCACCAAAAGCTCCTCCTCATCATCACCTGCAGCACCCGGATGCTGGCCAGCCCAGACATCTGGACCCAAAAAATCCCGACATCCGTGGCCTTGCGACGGTTGCCAAACCTTCAAGAAACACCGGAAATACCGTGAAAATCGCCCCCGACAGTGGCCAGCATCACTGCCAACATCCCCCTGCATCCTCGCCAATTTTGGGGCATCCCCAGCATTCCTGCATCACCAGCATCCGGGCTTTCTCGGCATCACACCAACCCTCAAAAATGGCCCCAGTAGGTTTTCGCGGCCGGCGGGCATAGCGGGCAGTCAGTGTGCGGGTTTTCGCGAAAGCGGGGCTGGCGCAAATATGCGGAAACCATCGCAAATACCTCGTTACGCTGTTGCTTTTCCTGGGTATTTGTTTTGTCACGTTGGCTTTGGGTTGCGTGCCGCGCGCGGGCGTGTGCGCGCGCGCACATGCACGCTTAAATAAGACAAATAGAGTAAGATAAGAAAGAATGGAATGGGTAAACAAAGTTAACGGAAGAGTCACCTGCAGCCAACCAACCAACCAGCGCAGCTAGTGATGGCGAAGCCCTAGGATAAAAGATCCACCTTTTGGAACCTTGACGACCAACTCAGAAAAAAACCGCTTCAGCTCAAAAGGTCGATTCGCTTTGGTTGCCACTCAGCACATGGGGAGAGTTCCCCATGGTTTTGGAATATTAATCAACCCCCCGAAAAACACAAGGGTACGCCATGGGGGCTCTGTTTTCTGCAGGTAGTAAGAGCAGATAAAAGTAACACACAGCTCAAAGCAATCAACATCAAAGAGTCAAGACAACCCAGAAACAAATCTGCACGAGGGGATTTTTAGCGGTGATTTGGTTTTTGGCGGTCATTGTCACAGGAACCCAACAAACACATTTTTTGGGGCTGGTGGTGATTTTCCTATTCAGGCACCTCCCCGAATTGGTGGTTTGGATTGGTTATTTGAAGCCTTGGTGTTGGTAGGGGGTAAATTGGGAACCCCGGAACATCACCACGCCAATTGGTAATAGCGACTATTACTAGGTCCTCTACTAGAGGTTAGAATCAGGGTATCCATTTCTCTTTAGTCTATTTTAGTAGGGGATTGTTTTTCAAAAAGGGTAAAGGGCACTACTGGGGGACCCAGATTAGGTTTTTCTTGGGGGGGGCCAATGGTTTCTTTTTGGGGACCATTTCCAGGGGTCCCCGCTTTGGAACCGCCCAACTTTTCCTGACAGCCCGCGGCTTCAGTCGTCGGCTTTTGACTCTCTTCGTTTTGAGCCTCGACGCGGTTTTTGTTTTGGCTATAAATACGGACCCCTATTTGGGGGGGGGGGGTACTCTAAAAAACGAGGTATACCCATATTTGGGTGTGGCTCAAAATGAAAGACCTAGGGCAAACCGCTGGTTTTAGTCTTAGTTTCCATTTGGCTGTGGGTCAAACGCCCGGAAACCCCCCAGTGAACATCCGATTCAATCCAACCACTAAAATAGGATGCCTAAAATGGGTGGTGAATTCACCAATCCCAACCAAAGTGGGATCCCAAAACGGTTTTGACAACCACAGCCATTTAGCAAGGGGGTGTTGTACATGTTGTACGGAGCCACAGCCATTTGACACGCATCCCCTGACAGCCACACGCATGCCAAGCTGCTTCTGATTTTCCTGACGAGTTCAGGCATGCTTCCTGGAAAATGCAACGAGTCTGCGGTTGAAAACCGTCGTTTCAATGACCCCCAAATAGGTTGTGAATTTCAGTGGCACTGGGACCTCTGGATAGCAATGTGCATCTAGCAGTGTGTCTTAGCGGTGTAACAAGAACCATGAAAGAAGAAAAGCACCTTCAAGAACGGAACAAAGCTGAACAAATGCATCGAGTCGCACAACGAAACACCACGAGACCGGCTCAACCCATTCGCCATTCGCCACAGATCGATGGCTATGGCCTCTGCGTTTCAAGCGCGGCCTGCGGCGCAGGGACCACTGGCCTCAGAAATTCGTTGCCGTGGGCCGAGGACCCAATCAATGGCCAAGGGTCACTCAAACCTCTTGGGCAAGATCAGGGCTGTGGGAAATGACAACTTTTGTAATACAACAGATGAGGCTTCCCAAAGACAATCCCCCCTGTATAAAGGGGGAGATTCCCTCGTATCACAGAAGTGGGGGCCCCTTGATCCCACAAGCCTGGGCAAGAAAGTACAAATGCGACTTGGCGATTTTAAGCATCAATCCCATGTGAAACCAACCAGAAACTGCTTCCAGCTGGTTACGCGATTTGGGGCCTTGCCGCCTGGCCCGGCCTGGCGATTTCTTGGGGTTTAAGGGAACCTTTTTTCGTTTTACAAATATGGCTGTGGCTCAAAATCAAACGATCTGAGGGGCAAACCGCAGGTTTTGGTACCCATGTTTCCACTTACCAGGCGTCCATTTTGGGAATCGGTTTCTTGAGCCACGGCCATATTGTGATTCAGAAAATACTCCCGGAAACCGGAGGATTGTAGCTGTAGCTTCATTCTCTTCACGGATTCTCTTCAAATGGGCCAAACGGGAACAGAACGAGACAACGATGGGTGAGAATGAAACCACAACCCACAGAGAGTGAAGAGAATGAGAACCCGCAGGACTCAAACCGGATCGCAGCCAATTTGGAAGCCAAAAGATCTCCGAAAGATTCGAAGTGGCCTGTCCCTCTGTTCGAGGGGAGACCCGAACCAAAGAAACTGGAGAAACCGCTGCATGTTCCGTCAACATGCGATCTGCAAAGGGTGTGTCACGTTGCAAGGTATCCTTCCGTGTTCGGAGAAACCAACAGAGCCATTCGCGAGTGTGAAGCAGGGAGCGCTGTGGATGCTAAACTCGGTTCAATGGAAAACCAACTTGAGGTAGAGGTGTTTTTTGTTTTACTAGGTCCGGTTTTTTACTAGTTTTCCGCAAAGCTGCCAACACCAACATCACTTGGACCTTGCCTATTGGCTCTGATTGGGTGGCAGTTGGGAGTTGCTGGGGGCTGGTTTAAGTTAGGCGGTTTTCGCTGGGTAAGATCTTCATGAGGGTGGGTCTTGGGGTGGTTTGGGGTTGGCTGACATCCAGGCTGCTGTTGGGCGGGTTTAGGGTTGACTTTGAGTGGGATTGGGGTGGCTTGGCTTGGAGCTGATTTGTGTTAGGTGTGCTGCTGGTTTAGCAGCGGCTTTAGAGTTGCTTTAGGGTGTGGTTAAGAGAGTTTTGGTCGAGTTTAGGGTTGGTTTTGGAGCTAAACCAGCAGCACACCCAACGCAAATCAGCTCCAAGCCACCCCAAACCCACTCAGTCAACCCTAAACCCGCCCAACAGCAGCCTGGATGTCAGCCAATCGCTTCGCCTAAATCAACCCCAAACCACCCCAAGACCCACCCTCATGAAGATCTAAGCCAGCCAAACCCCCCCTAACTTTAACCAGCCCCCAGCAACTCCCAACCCAATAGGCAACCCCAGGTCCAAGTGATGCGGGTGATGCCGGGGATGCGGCCAGCCAACCAACCAACCAACCAACCAACCAACCAACCAACCAACCAACCAACCAACCAACCAACCAACCAACCAACCCATCACCAGACCTAACAAAAAACCACACCTAGTAAAAAAAACAAAAAAACACTACCTCCCCAACTTGATGTCAACCAAAAAGTTAAATAGAAGCCTATGTTACTCGACTTCAACCAACTTGATTTCAAGCAAATCAACTTGATCCGTTACACGATGGCATTGGGGAGCGGCTTCACGACTCCGCTCCCGCTCGATATGTTCCCCGGCTGCTCTGATGGCGTCGGCGAACTGTGCGGGCTAGCCGCCTGAGCAGTTTGCGAGCGCATGGGGTACGTGTGCAAAGATGTGGCTCGTCCTGCTTCAGGCGGGACCCTCCAAAACGTTCTTACGGTGGGACCCCTCCGAAATGCCGGTTGGAGAACCCTCCAAAACGGAGTTCGGTTTCTTTTTGTGGGGGAACCCTCCAACGGATTTCGGTCTTCCCTTTGGTTTCCTTTGAAAACCACCAAAAAGCGGGTACCAACCAGATACCATTATAGTAATTAACGCCTATACCTGTATCTTCCAAGAGGGGCATAATTTCAGCAGTTTCGGGCACAACCATGTTTTAAGTTGAGACGGCGCATTTTGATGAGACTGCGCTTTTCCTCTTTTCAGCATTAGGGTGCATATTCGAGGTCAGGTGGCGCTTGAAACTCATGCCAGTATGCTGGTTCTGGTCGAATGTGATGCACTTGACTTCGCAGCACTAGCGCCGCAGTGATTTATTTGTTTCTTTATCGCGCCTCTTGAGTATTGGAGGTCCAGCAAACAGCATCCAACCACTTGTTGCAGGAGCAGGACTGGGGCATGAACTGGTTTTACTGCTGCTGCGCGGCGAAGGTTATAGCCATTTCAAGCAACACTCACAGTGGGAGTGGTAAGATCTCTAATGGCCTTACGAATCACACAATGTCAAGTGTGTTTTTTGCTGAGTTGTTGAGACCATTTGCGACTAAAACTTGGCGAATGTTTAGCTTGAAATGCCTTCCTAACGTCAGAAGGGCAAGTCTTGCATAGTGGTTATCGGCACAATAGGATGGAAGGCCAATCCGCTTTAGGCTGGTTTGCATGCAAGCCAAGAAGGTTGGAAGCGTGCGAAACGAGGAAATATGAGGGAACCACGCCAACACATAAAAATGTGAGTTGCTACTTCAGCAGTTGCCGTGATATTGCTGTTGGATGGCTTTGTTTACTGCTGCGCACACCTGGGAAGGGTCAATTTCTGAATTGCAACGGGGCTTGCCATCGCAGGTGTAGAGGGAAAGACCCCGAGTTGCGCGCCTTGGAAAGATTCAGGCAACTGTGTCCAAATTTGCAGAAACAAAACGGCGATAATTTGCGTCCAAACGGCGATAATTTGCGGCCAAACGGCGATTTTTAGCGAACCACCTTCATAGCGCTTGCCGGTTCACTTCACACGCTGCTCTATCACATGGGCTCTCCCAGGAAGCAAGCTGTTGTACGGGCTGTCCTCGGAAATGACTGTCGGTCATCATTCTGGCTGCAGTCATATTTGACAAGAATATATGAGTAAGCAGCCACAAAATATTAAATTCAATTAAACTTGCTGATGTTGGCACTGTCTGAAACCAATAATTAAGTGGTGATGTGATTCGTGTTGGTGGCATGCTGTGCTGAGAAGGTGCGAGGGGTGACTGCGACTCGAAAAAAAAGAGTGAGGAGCTTAAGCTACAGGTCTCGCATGTTTCTGCTGGGTGAGCACTGCTTGACACGTCAACTTGCAACGAACAGTTGCATGTGCTGCAGAGTTGCTTTGCGCACGCAGTCTGGAATTTTCAGGATGTTGGTTCCAGACCTTTCGGGGCTCTTGAGCGCCACCATTGACAGATACGAAAGACAGTATGCTCAGACCCAGATCTTGCGCACGTGCTTGAACAACTCTACTGGCTTTGCTCAGGGCGGCAGTAGCAGGATTTATCCTGCTATCCGAAGCTTTTAAGCAACTTTGCAATCTGGGCATTCTATTCATTCTTCACATATCTCCAGGCACATTTGTCCGCACTAAATTGGGGCAATGACGCAAAACAGCTTTGTCAACATTGAACGAAACTGCAGGAAATTCGCAAAACGACAAGTATTGATTGAAACGGCTGAAATTAATTGAAACGGCAACATTTTCTGCAGTTTGGCCAAACGGCAGAAATTACGTACCCTCAGAAGATCCAGGTATATATTATATATATATATATTGGCAGCTGGCAGCACTGGGTCTGCCTTTGGAATGACCATGCAGTACTCTACATTTCGAAGGCTAGTCTCGACATGGGTGGCTCGTCTCAGACTCTGTACCTCTCTGCTAGCCAATTTGGTAGGTTGTTAAAGTGAAGCCAAAGGACAACTGGTGCGTCCTTATGGGGGTCTAAAAAGGGACGCGCCCAGGTGTATCCCTGGAGTCTCCATGACCCTTTAAAAAACTAGGTCCACGACCCCACTACTTCAGGAAATGACCCCATTTTTAAAGGGTCATGGAGACTCTAGGTTTATAGCTTTGATTGAAAAATCCCTAAAGGCGATCTTCGATTCTCTCCTGGTTTCACCTCAAACTTTGCCGAGAATGGATGTGTGATTTTCCTTCAAGGTACCCTTTTCGGTGTGTTGTTTGCGCGGAACCAATGGAAAACTCACAAGTTGTGGGGTCTCGCCCTTTTGACGCAAACCCAAATCGCCCTGGCATGTTTTTGTCAGTTGGGCTACTGTTGGGTGGCAGGTCCTACCTAGGAAACGCCTGATGATTCCCAAATCTGGGCAACATGTCGCGCAAAGAACAATTATGTGATGTGTGCTTGTCGTGCAAGGTTCGTAAGAAATCCAATCCGACTTTCCCCACAACGCTGGTTGCAAGTTCCCTAACCACGGCGCGTCCAAGACTGGTTGGTGTTTCTTTGCGACCATCTACAGCATGGGTTGCCTATGTTTGAACCTTTTTACAGGGTGTCATTAAACACAAACAAATAGTGTCCAAAACTACCCTCTTTCCAATCACGGAAATGGACACGGGGCTTCTACAAAGGGAATGCAGTGTTCCAAAACCTGCCAATCGTCAATTTCCATGATTGGAGGGAAGGAACATATCCAGAGACGCCCCAACGGCCGGATCTTTCCCTTTGTAACATCACCCCACCAAGTGCCCCCAAAAGGTAAAGCTTAAACCAACAAAAGTGGAGAAAAAGGGCTCAGCCCTGCGGTTGCGTGCGAGTAAATGGCACAATTCCCTCATTAAGGTTTAGTCGTCTACTCACATTGCTTCGCCCATATATCTGGGGGACACAGACAATAATATGTTCAAATCATTTTGCATATATAGTCTATACCCCAAAAAGACAAACCAGTTTTGGAGCAGACACACATCTACCGGGCAGTGGGCCTACCCACCGCACGTCCCAAAAACCCCAAGCCGCGCCTCCTGCGGCTTGGAACCCCCACAGCCCATTGCGCCTCGCGCGAATGGACACGTGAAGTTGGGGTCGCCGAGTAATGCGTTTCCCTTCGGGTTCCTCTCAAAAAAACAGGAAACCACAAAGGGGTAAAAGAAAAATCGTTTTCTTTGGTTTTTTCCCCAACTCGGAACTGGAACAAAACATCTGAGCTCTGGGACAAGGCTGGCATACCAAGAGGGAACCTAACATAATTTTGGGTAGGCCATACATGTTTCCAAGCCGGTCTTATAATTATACAACAAATTATGTTGGGAGTGTTTTTTCCCCTAACAGCTGCAAGCTTTGGGGTCTCAGCCCAGATAGGCTCCGGGGTGGTCCGGGGCGGCACCGAGGTAAGGTTCCACGAGGGTTCCACCAGAGTTCCACGAGGTTCTGCAAGGACCGCGTGCTGTTGGGGATATCACCTGAGCTTATTGGAGAGACCCTTAGGTTGGATTGAAGGCAAACCACAGGGAGAGCCGCCATTTTGAGGAATCCCCCCCCTTTTGATGCATATCATCGTTCCCAGCTTAACATGTCGTATTTCCCCCAGTTTAGTATCACTTCTGGCACCCCTTGCGTTCCCCACTTACAGATCCCCTGCTAAAGTTTAACTTTGCTGGAAACTACCAGACTAAAACAACCTAAAGCTTAAGGGGATGGCTGGGAACCACCACATACCCACTAAGCTGTAGGATCAGTTCAGCAGAAAGAGGAGTGCTTCTGCCTTCCCAGCGGAAGAGGGCAGCGACGGAGTCAATTGGTCTGGGTTTATCGGACTGCCAAAGTCACAAAGTCACAACTCTCGCCTGTCTGCCGAGAAGGAATCCGTTTGGCCGAGCGAACCCAATTCGGGGAACCTCCAAAAAGATGTCCTGTTGGTCGCCTTTCAAGACCAAACCCAAAGGGCGTGCTCCCAAATCGGCATGATGTACAGGAACCGTGCCAGAAATATGGCCCCCCTAAAACATCAGCCAAGAACTTCATGTCAAAATGGCCCAAGAGTTGATGTGTCAAATCACCACATATGGGAACATGGGGAACACTCAGCGCTGTTAGGCTTGAACTAGCGCAGCTCTTAACAACTGAAATTGCATCCACCATCTGCGAATGCATCGTCAGCAACTAATCTACGCCGTTTCAACCTCGATTATAGGGGGTTGTGTATTGATGGCATCTGAGTTTCTAGTGGATAAGATGGCACATCCAGCCGATGTTTGAAGGTGTTAGGCGTGAACACTGAGGTAGTATTCGGGAGGCCTAAGAGACTTAAGACAATCAATCGAAACGGCGCAGATTAGTTGCAATTGTGGATTTCTCTGCCTGGCATATGTCGAGTCTTGGGGCCTGTTGGGCGACACTCGGAATGCATGCCGGGTTCCCTTTGCATTTATTGTTTACCTGGAGTCTCCATGACCCTCAAAAAATATGGGTCAATGACCCCGTTATTTTGGGTAGAGACCCCATTTTCTAAGGGTCGTGGAGACTCCAGGTATATCTGAGATTCCCAAATCTGCAGCGACTTCACAGGTACGCATGCGCCCACCCAAACACAAAAGGGTCCGTGTACAAACTCAAAGCATCACCAGCTTGCCGTTCTGTTTATCTCCAAAAACGTGTTTGCTTAACACTTCCGGGAGCCCTTTTGAGCCCAGTGTCATTTCGCGCCACCTTTTGAGTGAGTCACCAAGAGGAGTCCCCATTTGTCAACTAAAATTTGTCTGGCATGATATGGATTTCGGCCTTCCGTTTGGATCCCTTTCAGCCTGAAAAGGGTCTCAAAAGACACCATACATTGATGGGAAAAGGGACGGCCGGAGCCATGCTGTGGGTTCCCTATTTCAACATATACACCCTCTACACACCCGCCCAGTTGCAACAGCTCCAGTGACGAAATATCAAAATCGCATCTCGATGGTCCTTGCAAACAGGTGTAAACTGGTCCTGAGAAAAGAAGCAAATTGCCAGAAACAAGTGGTGTTACCAGCCAAGCTGTCTTGGTTGACGTTGGAAGGGGAGCAAAAAAACATTTTTTAGCAGTTCAGCGGGAATTTCCCACTAAACCACAATACGCAAAAATGTAAAATGTGTCCCAACAACAAGCCATGCTGTAGGCTTACCCATTCGGGAGGTTTTTCCAGCGCTCGTTGAAAATCCCGCGTGAAGCGCGCCAGTGTTTGCAGCATGATGCCAACAGGGGGGGGGGCTTTTCGGCACCTTTTGCGGACAATTGATCGACTCGTAGCGAAGGATTCCTTTTTGAAGTCGGCCATGTTCTCCTCACTTGCCCAAAGGACCCAGAAATAAAAGGTTAACCTTTTGGGGCCATGACTAAAACTAGACCAAAAAGGAAAAACCAAAAGGTCAGATTAGGTCGGTTTTGGGCAACTGAGTCTCACCACATGTGGCAAAAAGACTCTTTCCTGGATGCCAAAAACTTGCAGCATCTCGTTGCAAAGGGGGGAGTCCGAGAGGGGGAGATAACCTCTAGCTTCCAACGGGCGTGGGAAGGCCATGGACATTTGAGTTGCATCTCTGTCGTCACATTGAAAAGCGGTACTGTCCGATTGGATTCACTTGAAACAAAAACCCAATGAAAGAAGAGGTACCCAGCAAAAAGACACACGGGGATCCCCCAAAAACTTGCTTTCCTTCTGCTTTTCCCTTAAAACCGCAAGCAAAAACGCAGTTACCCAGAGGACCCCAGCAATCAAAGGTGATCACCAAGCATAAACAAGGGAAACCAAAAGGTCGGATCGATCGGTTGACTCGCTTTGGGCCACTGAAAAAAAAAAAAAACGGTACCTTCTGACCCTTTAAAAATGGGTCAATGACCAACCATGATTTTGGGTGACCAACCATTTCTTAAGGGTCAGATCCGGAGACACCAGGTACCCTCGATCCAAACGAGACGCAAAAACATCCACGGATCCTGCTCGCAAAAAGCGCCGCCTCTTTCAAGGCCGGCGCAGCGCGCAGCCCAGGCCGCTGTCGGCAAAGAATCTTTAAGCTGCGGAGAGGCGAGGCTTTGGCCTGGGGCCTCATGCATGGAGTGTCTTTTTTTCGGAGAGCACCAAATCCCCCTCCCCCCTGGTTTTTTGCGGGCTTTTTAAGGGAAACCAAAAGGAACATTCGGAGAGCACCCCTTTGGTTGCGGACCACGTTTTGGGGTCCCCTCTAGAGAAGACCGAACCAAAAGGGGGATCGTGGGAGGGGTGCGGTGCGCGCCTCTACGCAAGTGGAACCTGCAAGTCACGCCTAGGCCGAAGCCAACTCTTATATACGGCCGTGGGTCAAAGGTAGGGTAGCCCCAAAATGGAACCCTGGCTAGGTTTTTGAGTAGAGAGGTCAGAATAAGGGTACCCTTTTTTCTGTAGTCTATTTTAGTAGGGGAACCCTCCCCTAGCCGGTAAAGTGGAAGCATGGACTAAAACCTGTGGTCCCCCGGCTTTCCATATTCACCTCAAGCTTGGGAACAGTGCCAAGTCACTAGAAGCTCTTGGCTGCACATTCCCTAAACACTCTCCAAGTCCAACTAACGCATGGGTCGGACAGCCTTGGATCAAGTCTTCCTATTGCAAAGCGACAAGTGCCTCTGAGAATCTGGGCATGACAGGGCCTTCCATGTGCTTGCGCTCTTGCTGAGTTGATCTTGCCTCAAATAACCACAGCCCTCAGGCCCCATAATAGAATAGGTATGTGTCTACATTGACATAAGGAACGCCTTATGTGTCTAGATAGGGAACCCTCAAAAAGGATTGCTTTCCTTGACTTTCCCTTCTAGAGCACCCCCAAAGGGTACCCTTTGAGAACACAAAGCCTTTGTCTTGAGTGGTTGTCCGCAGACGGAAGAAACCCATGCGTCAGCAAAACGTGGCACACTGTCAAAAGTGCATGACACATCAAAACTACATTAAACACAAGTGGCGGCCGAATACAACTGAGTACTCTGAACTTGCAGAGTGAGGTATGTCGCAAAGTGGAGCCCCATTCCCTACATCTACTCCATTCTGTTCCGTTCATCTCCCCTCACTGGCTGGCTCACTTTGCCACCCTTTGCTTGCCAATCTGCTTTTGAGGTCCCGAATTCCAGGGCACCACTGTTCGGAATCTTTCCACCTACCTCTTACCCCTTAAAACTCCAAGCCCTGGGGAAGTTAATCTTTTACAGACGTATAGCCCATGTTACCAATAAATTGAAAAGTTGTGTTTTTAAGAGGTAAGACCTTGTTTCTTTCCTGACAAATCGCAGTCAACTTCCGAAGCAATACTCTCCAGTTCATGCAGCCACTTGCCCCTCCTCCCGCTCCCCTCCATACCGTATCTTGCTCAGTTTTCGCGGCTTTGGCGTGTAAGGCCTTCATTCGCTGCTTTGGCGAAGTCACGCCTTCTTGGCCTAGCGTCCACGTGCAGTTTTGGGCTGCGGCTCGCTTGGGGGATGACCTAGGCATGTGTCACGGGCCTAAAATCAATCGAATGGGGCTGTGGGAGTTTGAGACCAAAGTACGTCATGCCACCATCATAAAATGTGCAAAACAGGCCTGAATCATTCGAATGTGAGGCGCGTCAACGCCAAGCTACCTCGAAATCCAGCAAGCCCTGGCCGTCGAGGAGGCCCAAGCACGGAAGCTTGATAGGATCTCTGTGTGACCCTTTGGATGGCTAAGCAACGGGCTCTGCTTTCGCCTAACCTTGCCCGCCTTTCGCGAGGGCTTAGGGCTCACAAAGTCGGATCTGTGGTAAGCCCTGGAATGTTTACAAGCAGCTTGCTTAACGGGGGGATCCGGATCTTTCTAGAAAACCTCCGAACAGCTTGGGGAAGCAACCCCTGGAAATATGGGCAAAAACTACCTGATTCTTGAAAAACCTGAAATAGATCCTGGTGAGCTCGTTTACCCCCACGTGTTGCAACACCCGCTTGGCGTGAGCATGGTAACAGAGATTCCTTGGCTTCCAGCAATCTCCGCTGAAGAAAATGGCTTGGCCAAGACTGCAACTAAGGCAAAAGGTCCATCCGACTGCGGATTCGGGGCCTCAAGCAAGCTGCCTGACGTGGCCAGAAGAAACTCAGTCAAACCAAAATGGAACCAAGGCAGAGTTGACCCCTAATCTATAGCAGCCAACGCTGTTTCCACATGCTTCCTGTTTGAAAGTTGGTGTCGGATTGGCCAAGGGTTTGGCTTTCAATGCCTGAATTGCCTGCAGCCTCACTGACATGAAGGATCTCGTGAAGAAAAACACACCTGCTCCCATGGACGGAGGCTGCCATGCTGGCCGTGAAGGTGTTGAACAGTTAGGGCAAGCAGGAGGCCAGACGGCGTTACCGGCGTTACCGTTTACTGCATATCTTTCCTTGTCACAAACGGACGACCAGCGGCAGAGTACGGATAACGTGGTGCCAGCCAGCTTGGTGAACGTCGTGTCATGTAGTCTGTGTGCGGTGGGAATGCACCTTGCAGTAGGTGAGGGGCAGGTGCAAGTCCTCTTGGGTCCGGAGTTGCCATGGGGCGCATGCAGCTGAGGGGTGTGCTGTGGGTCATGTCATACACCTATGGCTTTGTTACCCGCAGGGCTTCGCTCCTCATCATTTTCCAATATATGCCTTGACTTTGGTCAGCGTTGTCGGACCACGTGCTACAGGGCTGTGCAAACTGGTGTTCTTAGCATTTGGTGTGGTTGCGGCAGAACTTTATGGGCTGGAGCGCGCCGCTTGTGCCGCCCTTGCAACGCCAGTGCCGCAACTGCGCTACAATAGTTTCCTGCGCCACCTGCCGTGCGCTATGTGCATTGCGTGCATCCTGTAGTAAATTCCAGTGGAGCCCGCATTCCGCCGTGCGCGGCCGCATTGCGCCGCGCACGCGTCGGAAAAGTCCGAGAAAAGTGGTTTAGTGATTGACAAAGAATTGGAACTCTTCTTGGGCTCATTTGGGGAAGCCTCCAAGCACATCTGCCCATGGGTCAAAACCCAAATCGTACCCCCAGTGAACATCAACCAATCCAACCACTAAAATAGGAAGCCTAAAATGGGTGGTGAATTCACCTATCCCAGAATGGGATCCCATGGGTTTTGAACCATGGCCATCTCGGTTTTTTAGGGTGCCACTGAACAACAACCTTGAACATTGGTCGCATACATTCCATGGCTATCCGCCAAACATGGGAGGGGCACAAAAAATACGCACTTAGCCAAAGGACCTGGAAACAACAGGCTAGCCTTTTGGGAGATTTACGCAAAATGGAAACCAAATCAGGGAAACCAAAAGGTCAGGTCGATTCGTTTTGGGAAACTGAGCAACCACTAGATGGTGGTTTGGATTGGTGGTTTAGGGATTAGGGGGGTGGTTCCCACGTGCCTTTTACAAGAAGCAAGGCCTCAAATCCCCAAACCACTCACTTGCCCAAAGGACGCAGAAATAAAAGGTTTCCCTTTTGGGGTTTGCCTCTAACTAGACCAAAAAGGAGAAACCTGGTCAAAAGGTCGGCTTTACTGAGACGAGCGTTCTCTTCTCTCACTCAATCACATGCCTCCGCGAGGTCCAGCATCAGGCTGGCCACTTGCCCTGCCCCCCCCCAAAAAAAACGGCGGCGCAGGTCTTTGGATTCCTGAACTGGTCGCTTTGAGGGTGCCTCTTTTGTGGTTTTTAAGGGAAGCCACAAGGAGAACTCATCATTTGAGTCATAATCAAAACCCGGTCTTAGAATGGTCTACCCAGAACCATGTACAGGATTAAGAAGGCGGCCGCAGCTAATTATGGTTGGGATCGTTCCTTACTAACCTTCATCTTCCCAGGTTTTGATTGTGGCTCATTTTTTGGGGGGCCCTAGCAAAACACACACCATTTGCTCTGGGCAAATTACAATTCGCCAAACCAAAGATTGGAACCCGCACAAAGGAACCTTCACTATGGGTGACGTCGCTTGCGCGCTGGGATTTTCCTAGAGTTGGTAGGAGCCCCAAGCAAGCATGCTTCATATTATGACCAAATGTCAATATTTCAACTTGCCTCACACGCGAGCGCAAGTCTTAAAAATGATGAGGTTTGGATTATCCTAGTTTTGGCGTAAGGCCTTTGGACAATATATACTGTAGTTCAGCTGCTCAACAGCTCCAGGGAGGTCTTCTATGTCAAACTCCCTGACACATAGACAATATGAGCTATGAGTGTTGCAAGTTAAAAGCCGGAAATCTTCCTCCAGCCCTTGCATAGCACACAGGGGTGGTATTTCAAGCATGCGATACAACCAGGAATGCTCCCATTCAACACTGAGTAGAACACTGGTACATGGGGAATAAAAATAATAATAAGCCAAACCCAAATGGGTGCGTCTGTTGCCAAACCAAAACAAAAACCATTTGGGTTTGTGAATAGAGACTTTCTTTTGGGACCCCAGTTTGAAGACGCCCATGCCCGGGTTTGGTAAATCCTGAACGACGCCCACGAACTCGAAAGCGACCAACAAAAACAGGCCTGTTTGCTGATAAATGCTTGACCATGATGCAAAAACCCGAAGGCAAAAGGGATTGACCAGTGAAACTCTGGGAATGGTGAGCTAAAGGACATGCGCATCACATTTTGCACATTCTTAGTGAGTTGCATGGTGGGCAGAACGAAAAGGCTTGCAAGACCTGCCATGCCCGAGCAGGCGCCTACGAAGCAAGAGGCGCTTCAATCAATAGTCGTGGAACAACTTACACATCCACACACCTTTTGCCTCGAAGTGGTTGATTTCGCTTTGACTGGCCTAACATATTGTGAGGATGAAGAACAGCCGGAATGGGGTCGGAACGGGATAATTACCCAAAAGAAGGGAGACCCAAATAGCGGCCCAACACCCGCAGGTGCCACGAGATTTAGTGCGCAAAACCCAATAATCGCTCAGTATGGCGTTGAACCGACCCGCTGGTTGGCCGGACGCACCCACACCCCCAGCAAGACAAGCACTGACACTGACTCTGACACTGATACTAACACGGACACATACACAGACACACAACAAACACACAAACCCACAGACACACACACACACATGAATACACTCAAACACACGCACACGCACATACAAACACACACACACACAACACACACACACACCACGCCACGCCACGCCACGCCACGCCACGCCACGCCACGCCGCGCCACAAACAAACACAAACACTCAAACACACAAACACGCAAACACACACACACACACGGACAGACAGACAGACAGACAGACAGACAGACAGACAGACAGACAGACACAGACACACACAGACACACACAGACACACACAGACACACACAGACACACACAGACACACACAGACACACACAGACACACACAGACACACACAGACACACACAGACACACACAGACACACACAGACACACACAGACACACACAGACACACACAGACACACACAGACACACACAGACACACACAGACACACACAGACACACACAGACACACACAGACACACACAGACACACACAGACACACACACACACACACACACACACACACACACACACACACACACGCGCCACGCGACACGAGCCACGCGCCACGCGCCACACGCCACGCGCCACGCGCCACACGCCACACGCCACACGCCACACGCCACTCGCCACTCGCCACTCGCCACACGCCACACGCCACGCCACGCACGCACCGACACACACACACACACATACACACTACACTCTTACGCGCTTACGCACTTATGGACTTACTTACTTACTTACTTACTCACTTACTTACTTACTTACTTACGCATGCACGGACGCACGCACGCACGCACGCACGCAAACACACGCACAGACACGCGCACACACGCGCACACACACACACACACCACAAACACAGACACGTACACACACCTACACACGTACACACACATACACACTACACACTTACGCACTTACGCACTTCGCACTTACTTCCTTACTTACTTACTTACTTACTTATGCACGCACGCACGCATGCACGCAAACACACGCAAACACACGCAAACACACGCAAACAGACACACACACATACGCGCACACAGACACACACCACACACACACAGACACGTAAACACAAACACACACACACACAGACACGTAAACACACACACAAACACAGACACGTAAACACACACACACACACACACACACGCACGCACGCACACACACACACACACACACACACACACACACACACACACACGCACGCACGCACGCACGCACGCACGCACGCACGCACGCACGCACGCACGCACGCACGCACGCACGCACGCACACACACACACACACACACACACACACACACACACACACACACACACACACACACACACACACACACACACACACACACACAGCACACGCACGCACGCACGCACGCACGCACGCACGCACGCACGCACGCACGCACGCACGCACGCACGCACGCACCCACACACACACACACACACACACACACACACACACGCAAACACGCGCCTTTGTGGCGGGTCTTATTTTGGCAACCCAAAGACAAAGAAGTACAAATACATACAATCACATACGCAACAAAGAACAAAAACACAACACCATTCGCCAGCCGCATTCAACTGCACCTCCCATTTGGGTTTGTATCAAAACCGACGGCCCAACGAGACACGAGGTTTTCCAGTTGGCTTTGTGTAAACGAACCCCAGGACACATACTGAATCGTCTCAAAAAATCGGCTTGGTTTCTGGGCTGTTCAAAATGGGTTTCCGATTGAAATCGACCAAACTGGGCTGTTCAATGGAGAGTTGGTCAATCCTAATCCATAATCCCTACAGGCAACATGCGGACCGGTTCAAAGGTGTACTCCGTGAGGATCTTGCGGATTAGCTTTGCACATCCCAGCCAACACCACCCTAAAGACCCATACTCAGCTTACCCCTTAAAACTCCAAGCCCTGGGGAAGTTAATCTTTTACAGACATATAGCCCATGTTACCCTAAAAGTTGAAAAGTTGTGTTTTTAAGAGGTAAGTCAGGGAGCCCAAACAGGGTTGGAGTCCTTTTGGCTCCGCTAAAGATCGACCAGCCGGGGTCTACGACTAAAAACCGAAAAATCGCAAAGACAAACGGCACCGAAGAACATTGGAAATCGACCAAACGGGGGGTTCCACGAGAAAAAACAAAGAAAACAAAGACAATCGACAAAACAGGGGGTTCCACGAGAAAAACAAGAGAGCAAAAACAAACGAAGAAAAAAAGAAAAAAAAACGGCGGCGAAGAAAAATCGACTTCTCCTCCGCGCCTTGTAGCACCTCCAGCCGGCCTCGGTCCTTCCTTTGCTGGCACCGCATCTCTTCTCGCAGCTGCGCCTGGGGAAAACTTGTTCGAAGCGGAGAGAGACGGAGAGATCGCAGGGGGGGGGCGGGGAAGGGAAGCGGCCTAGGTCCTCCAGTGGAGGGATTAGAACAAGTTGGTACCAACTGTTTGCTGATTCGTCGATTTTAGCGGAACCCTCCCAACCGAAAAAGGGTAAAAGGCCACTACTGGGGGACCCAGCTGCTGTTGCCCAGATACCCGAGAAATCGATTCTCCGAAATGGGTGGCTTCAGTGCCCTAAACCAAAACCCATACCCTTCCTCCCACTGACATAGCACCTGTGAGAGGGTACCTGGAAGATCAATTTCCTCAAGGGATCCTCGGTGCCACGTGTGTGGGAGGGAGAGACAGTTTGGTTCAAAAAAACTGGTAGATTTGGAGACCGCAGAAAAGCTCCTGGTGCCCAGGTGCCCCTTGTGAGGGGGGCCCTTCAAAAAAAAAGGTATGTTTGTTTCTTCGTTTTTTCTTCTGGCAAATGGATGGCCTGAAACAGCAATCTGAACCAGTGGAACTTCCATAGATTGTTGGGTTCAAACAACCACCTAAGGTGCCCAGATGGCCTGATTTTTTTTGAGTTCGAGTGTGGGGAGGGAACTGGATGGGAATGTGATTGAATCCTATACCCTTCTCCTCTCTATGAATCCGAAAGGTAATGGACGGATGAATCCATGGGTTCCCCTGGTAAATGGATGGCCTGAAACAGCAATCTGACCCCCCAAACATTCGTGTACACGGGTGTGTTTATTAAGAAGAAAAAAATCGGACCTCATCCAGGTGCTGGGCTTTCCTTCTTAAGTTTTCCCTTAAAGGTTTTCAGACCCACACTTGGGTCACCAAAGGGGAAGTCCACCCCCAAAAAAAGCTGCGTAAAACAAACGTCCCCGGCGTGATGGGTTTTGGCTCAAGTGGGCTATTTGCAGCACTGCCCGATTTGCTTTGCTTGCCTTGAAATCGAGAAAGGCTACAAAGGCAGAACATCCGGGGGTCAATTGGGGGAGGGGTTCTGGCCCGCTTTTACCCACCTCTTACAAAAGACTTTTCTAGGACGCCATAGTTTGGACCCGGGCATGCAACTTAAACCTCCTAACTTGGAGCTTTTTGTCGGTCACGTTCTCCCTCGCCTTCCTGAGAAGCGGAAGTGCACTTTCAGTAGTTGAAGCTGGTGCGAGAGATGCAGGGAATGAGGAATGAAATGAGCCCGACAGAAACCTTCCAACTTATGGTTTCCTTTGTTCGGGGATCCCGAAACACTTTATTCCCTCATTCCCTACCTATCGCACCAGCAAGTAGTTGAGAATCATTTCCCTTTTTTGAAGGAGAGTCAAATGAAGTCAGCTAAATTTCAGCGCCTCTTGCGCCTTCTGCTCTGCCAGCGACTGCTTGAGGAAAGACACCTATCCAGGCAAGTCGGCTGGAAAAGGGACCCACATTAAATGACAGGGAGCCCGCTCAGTGGCGCTTAAGAAAGCAAGTGGAATTCCTCACACGTTTGCAAGGAAACAACACACAAACACACAAACAAACAAACAAACAAACAAAGAAAGAGCAAGCAAGCAAGCGAGCGAGCGAGCAAGCAAAGCAAGCAAGCAAGCAAGCAAAGCATGCAAGCAAGCAAAACAAGCAAGCAAGCAAAGCAAGCAATCAACCAATCCCATGCTGATTAAAACAATGAGTGTTTGCCAAATTGGTGCTTGGAAACTTCCCATTTGTTCGTTTGCTCGTTGCTTTGTAAGCTTCTCAGGCCCTTCTCATTTGCGGGTCCTCCAAAAGCCATCCAAGCAAAGGTGTTTGGTGCTAGGCGAAAAGGCAGGCCAAGACTGGAACGGTGTGGACGCTACAACCGCAGACTGAGGGATGCGCCGACTCCCCCTCTGACTTCGCAAGTGGCAAGCTGAAGTAGGACCCATGTGGCCATGGGTCAAAACCCAAATCGTACCCCCAGTGAACATCCCAATCCAACCACTAATATATAGAGTAAAATGGGTGGTGCACCGAAAACCCCAAAATGGGATCCCATTGGTGTTGACCCACAGCTATGTCATTTCCAGTGCGCAGAACCGGGGCCTCTCGCCTTCTCCCCGCATTTTTTAACTTGATTTCAGTTTCCGACATGTTGCAACCATTCTGCTTCTCAAAATGGGTGGGTCAAATTTACACCATCAGGAACCGCAGGTGTTAGTCATTTCCATTTACTAGGGCGACCCTTTTTTTTGGGGGTGACCAACTGTTTGACAACCACATCAAAATCAAAACCCCATAAACTAGCTTTCGAGGCCCTCCCTAGGCCCTTGGCCTCTCTTCGGTAGCCTTCCAGAGTCCTGTCGCAGCCAAGCACACAGCTCCTTGAGGCATCCTCCACCAGACGATTCCATGGAAGCCCCCGAACGGACCCCTGACTTGGTAACCCATTTACATAGGCCAATTAGGGGAGCTTCCATGTTAGTCCACAGACTCAAGTCCCAAAGTGGTTTGTTCATTCATTAAGTGGTTCTCTGCCTACGCGTCCAAAAAGGCTGCCCAAGGGGGCCAATTCCGTGGTGCCTCGCCTCCGCAAAGCGGAACCTCTTCCTTCCGGAGAGATATACCATCCGACACAAACAAAGGTCTCCCTGGATCAAGGGGCACCCCCGTTGGTCCTGACAAACCCGAAGGCCGGTCAAGCACAGGTTTCTCAAAGTTTGATACTAAAAACTGGTTGCTTTCCCCAAACAGTGTGTCTACACTATATAAGCTTAAGGCCTTCTAAGGCGATCATACAGTTAGAGTAAAGGGCCGGGGTAGATCAGAGTTTGTTGTGTTTTCCCTTTCAAACCAAGCCAAATGAGGTTGCCCCCACCCCGCACCCCCCAAACAGCACGAACCAAAATCCGGTTCTCTCTCCTAGCAACCTCCTCATCCGCTGAAATGCCGTCGCCGGCCGTTTCGCCTGCCGACCAGGAGCAAGAGGGACCAGAATCTGGCCATAGCGAACATGAGTTGCATGAGGATGTATCTGGGTGAATTATCATTTCACCAGCCTGGAATTAGTGTGGTTCGGGCGCTATTCCCCACACAAACCACCATTTGGGGTGAATTTGGTCGTGTGAGGTCGTTATAATTCACCCCGTATGTCCACCAGCATTTCTGAAGGAAATACCAATGAATAGTTGAATCCCTGCAGGACCCATTGATGCACAAATGTTTGCTCGAGCTTTTGTGGCAAATAAGTGCGTGAGAAATGGTAAAATCAAACACATGCAAATGCACAGATTGCGGGGCGGAGCTTTGGCTTTGCACACTTTTTGGAATTGCGCCCGAGTTGCGGAAAATTGCGCCCGAGTAGCGGGAAATTGCGCTCGAGTTGCGGGTTCGTTTTCTCTCGAGCACTTCACCAAGCATCTAGGCAACCTCAAAAAGTGCTCAAAAGAACGCTCGAATGCCAAAAACTGTCTGGAGCACCTTTTTGTGTATCAAAGGGTCCTCCAGGTCAGCATAGTATTGTTGCAAGGGGCAAGGTACCCGTTTCGTGGCAAGACAGTCTGCAGCCAAAAGCATTTCCATATTTATTCGCGCGAACGTACTCCCCTGCAGATCAATACATGGCACCCAAAGTATCGTTAGCAGCCTCGTGGCAGACCCTCCTTTGAGGTTCCGAGTTAAGTTGCAGGAGGCAGGCTTTGTTTGATAACAGTCCCACAATCTGCATTCTGCTTCGCTCTGCTTCGTTCTGCTAGAAGTTCTTGAGGTGATGTTTCACCTCCGAGATTTTTTCGGCACCCCGAATGGTCAAAGAAAAAAAAAAAAAAACGCAACGACCCCTTGACCAATACCCTTCCCAAACATTCGAATCATGGACTCCGCGGGCTTGTCATTGTGAGGCATTCCGCCATGAGTCTGGCCATGATCGCTACCATTGCCATTGCTACTATGTTGACTCCTCTTCCCACTAAAATATACAATAGCGCTGACTGCTGGCTATCACATCTACTATCATCGTTGCGATCCTCATGTTGAACATTGCGGATGGACCAACTCCGTTTCGGAAACCATGCATAACGGGTGTTGGTATTTACCAGGGAATCGAATCATTCCGTAGGGTTTCCGAACGGTGGTGCGAAATGGATTTCGCAACCATCCACCGTATGTCTGACATGTGGACATGTGAGGTATTCAGTTCTTTCGTGTGCTTATGGAAAACATACTTCCAGTAGCGATAGATTCATTTCCCGTAGTGATAGATTCCCTTTAAACCAAAAAGGAACATGACAAATAATAGATTCCCTTTAAACCAAAAAGGAAAATGACAAATAATAGATTCCCTTTAAACCAAAAAGGAACATGACAAATAATAGATTCCCTTTAAACCAAAAAGGAAAATGACAAATAATAGATTCCCTTTAAACCAAAAAGGAACATGACAAATAATAGATTCCCTTTAAACCAAAAAGGAAAATGACAAATAATAGATTCCCTTTAAGCCAAAAAGGAAAATGACAAATAATAGATTCCCTTTAAACCAAAAAGGAACATGACAAATAATAGATTCCCTTTAAACCAAAAAGGAAAATGACAAATAATAGATTCCCTTTAAACCAAAAAGGAAAATGACAAATAATAGATTCCCTTTAAACCAAAAAGGAAAACAAATAATAGATTCAAATAATGACAAATAATAGATTCCCTTTAAACCAAAAAGGAAAATGACAAATAATAGATTCCCTTTAAACCAAAAAGGAACATGACAAATAATAGATTCCCTTTAAACCAAAAAGGAAAATGACAAATAATAGATTCCCTTTAAACCAAAAAGGAAAATGACAAATAATAGATTCCCTTTAAACCAAAAAGGAAAATGACAAATAATAGATTCCCTTTAAACCAAAAAGGAAAATGACAAATAATAGATTCCCTTTAAACCAAAAAGGAAAATGACAAATAATAGATTCCCTTTAAACCAAAAAGGAAAATGACAAATATGCTTCTGCAAACGGAAGGACTGTATTGTATAGGCATCCGTGCATTTCGTCCGCTCGGGGTTTCCCCGCGCCTGCATAGCCACCTCGCCGGAGCCTAGGCCCAGTGGCTCGACAGGCTGGAGCTCACGAACCAAACATCAAGAACCCCAGCTACGCGCGAGCCCACAAAAAGGGTGGAAGAACCATAGGTGACCTTTTGGAAAAATCAATGGGTTGGTAAATGGTCTGAAAGCCATGAATCTAAGCTAGTCGAACCCATCTATTTCTAGCCAAGCTAACCGAAAAGGACACCTATGGGGGTAGATCCTTTGGAAAAGAACCAGAGCCTGCGCTGTTCACGTCTGCAGTGTTAGGTGCAATCGCCGCACGTTGCTTGCCACAACCAATTAAGTCATGGAGAGTTCACACATGCAACTCTTTCGAGAAAGGGGTCTAATGCGTAATGCGGTCTCGCTGAGTAACACAGCCCCCATGGCGTCCCCTTCTCTGCAAAAACGGGGTCTACTCTGGACTGTCCTCAGATCCCCCGCTAAAAGTTTAACTTTTAGTGGGTTACATGATGGTAACTACCACTGAACACTAAAAAGGCTAAAAAGCTGAGGGGATGGCTGGAAGCCACCAAGTTATGTTATGTCTTGAAAATGAGAGGAAATCCTCAACGCTGACTTCGCCCGTGCGCACCTTAGGTTCTCCTGCTGCATTCGCACCAGCTGCTCTTGCGCCTGGCAAGCTTGAGCACTTCAGGCCCTCAGGCCTCTCGGCTCATCATGACGACACCTTGTGAAAAGGCTAAAGCGCTCTCCGCCCGAACTATCTGGCCTCATTATTTAACCATGGTCAAAGTCGCCCCTAAGTGGTGGGTTAAAGGGAAACAAACCCCATTTCTGACTTTAATAACCCCCAGAAACCGTCAAAATCATGACCCCTGACTATGGCAGCTAGGAAACAAGAGATTACTTCTACTGAGCTATGGGTTGTGCTTGGTCCTGGTATCGTGATGTGGGAGTTGAAGCAGGTTGCACCTGACCACTTTCTGCTTTTAGAGGCGCAGAAACTGCTCTTAAAACCTTGAGCATTCTCCAATGCGTCTGTCAGTAGGGAGTCCTGTCTGGGGAGAGATTGAAGAGTGTCAAACGGCCTTTGTTGGAAAGAAGTGTGTAACTGCTTGAAGGGTCCAATGAAACATTGCTTCCCAAAGACATAAAGCCCAAAGATCCAACCAAATAGGTGTGGCTCAAAAAACCGGTACCAGAATGGAACCCTGGTAAGTGGAAACATGGACCAAATCCTGCGGTTTGCCCCTCGTGCTTAAATTTTGAGCCACACCCAAATAGCTACGAGGCTGAGAGGAGCTGAGGAGATTTCCAGGCGTTTGCTGTGGTCTTGGGCTTGGTGCCGCAGCGGCAGAAGGTTTTCAGCCACGTGGGTGTCACATCTGTCTGTCACATCTGTCTGTTACAGGGTCTGTCGGCGGGTGGGCTGGCTGTGGGATCTAACAACCCTGGGTGGGGAAAAATCACAAAAGAGTTGGTACCATCGAGCAACTAGCGAACCTTCGTGGTGTGCAATTGGTCGCAAACCAAGGTCATACCACTAAAATTGGTCCAAACACAAAGAAGTTACTAAAGTGCGGGAACTCGGGCCCCAACATCTTTCGACCTTCAACCCGCATAGAATGTCCAGAGATGTTTCTACACTGAGACGTTAGCAAGGTGCCCCTCCAGCCACCCACCCCTTGCTCCCCCCCCCCTACCACCAAGCACCTCCCCTAGGTCCTCCAGTAGAGAGATTAGAATCTGGGTACCCTTTTTTCTGTAGTCTGTTTTGGTACGGGAACCCTCCCCCAAAAAAGGGTAAAAGGGCACTGCTGGCGACCTAGACCCCTCCATTCGGAAGAAAACCAACACCCCGCCTTCACCCGCGCCCGCTCCGCGTGCTCGAGGCGCAGCCGAAGCTTACAGCAGGCCCCGCAGCCTGTCGAGGGCCTCCGCGCGGAATTGTTCCTGGACCCCTTCACTTACTGCTTCTAGGTCCTCCAGTAGAGAGGTTAGAAGAGGTTGGTACCAACCTTTTTTTTCTGGACGTCTATTTCAGTAGGGGAACCCTCCCCCAAAAACTTGATAAAAGGGCACTACTGGGGAACCTAGGCTTGGAGGAGGGATTGGCCCCAAGGTCTTCCACTTGCGTTTTTGGAGTCCTGGGGAAAGAATACACATATTTCCAACTGTGATAGATTCCGATTCCCTCTAAAAACCGCAACGCGGGGCAGTAAAACATACTCATCTCAGCAAATTCAAGAAGGCTAGACTTGTTTGCCACGAAAGGTGGACTCTTCCAAGCGATCCGCGGCCGCGATCTTCCCCTTCGGCGCTGGGAAGCTGTCTTCGCAGGTGCATTCAGGGATTCCCAAAGGCGAAAGCTGCACCAGCCGGGCTTTGCATGTCAGTCGCCTCAGAACCTTTGGTCGCCACCGGCAAATTCACGAGCAAACCTCTTGTCATTGTTTGGTGAATTTGGGGGCTTATTCATTGGCTATTGCCAGTCAAAAGCTTGAGACTGCATGTTCTAGGACCCTCGCTCATTTTGCAAGCCAGCCAAATCACAAGGAAAACAGTGGTGGAGCCTCAGTGTGATAGGGCAGTGGCTCAAGTATGCGCGCCACATTGGCTGTTCGTAGCAGAACAATTCAGCCAAGCCATCAAAAGCAGTTGGGATGATGTTGGGCTGCATGCTAACACTCACTTGCCCAAAGCCGACCTTTTGACCTTTTGGTTTCCCTTGGTTGGCCCATATTGTTGACCTTTTCATGTCTGGGTTCAGATTGGGCAACTGAGAATACTCTGTACTTTCATGTCGGAAAAGGCTGGCTGAGAGAATGTCACGTGCAACACCTGACACTTGAACCAAAATGCTCTAACTGCTTAGGTTCATGTTAGCTTCCTTGTAATGACCACCAACAGCCGTGAATTTAAGACACCATTGGGTGTGTTGTGAAATATGGGGAACCCGCAGAATGAGTGAACTGCACTTCGTTTGCCTCTAAGCCAACTGTAAAAAAACGGTACAAAAAAAAAGAAAGACGTACGCAGAGACGCACCGAGACACACAGACACAAAGGCACAGAGACACAGAGACACGGAGACACACACACACACACACACGCAATATTCCTAGACTGGAACCCATAACCTTTCACTCATATCCAACTCGCCGGCCTCTGCGGCTCCCCGTCCGCAACCTGGGGCCACGAGGTTTCTTGTCTCGCATATCTGGTTGGCGTCCAAAAGGTCTGAACTATCTGAGCAAGGGTCAACATATGTTACCCTCATGGACAATTGGTTGAGACAAGCTCAACTATCTTGCCAAACGAGCGTGTCTTTTTTTTTAGGGGGCCCCCAAAATGGTGGCTGTCCTCTTGGTTTCCCTTTCAAACCACAAATAGGGGTACCACACCCAAATAGCAAGTCTAAAGCCTGGTGAGAAGATCGTGTTTCCATGGCTT